TTCGAGAGTGAATGTTGCAGTAAAATTACGGCATTGGCAGTGAGCTTGTTGTTCCAATAGAAAATCCCTTTATCGGCACTTGTTTCATTAGCCACTGCGTACTTAAATTCTTTTGTAGCATAATCTAGATATGAATTATCTCCGGTAGCGAAAAATAACCATGTTCCTCCCCAAACCAGTTCATCTTGGAAACCAGACGAGTTGTTGAAATTCCTAGATTCTCCTCCACAAGCATCAACCTCGGTGTATGCTGCTTGCCTAGCAGGGTCCAGTTAAGTAATTGTACTCTCGTAAAGCTTCTTGGATGCTGTGGCTAATTCTTCTGCGTATAATTTTCTTTAAGGACTAATGAAGAAGCCGATAATGCTGCAATAATTTCCCCTGCTAAATCAGAATCCATGCTGTCGCAGATCGAAACAGGTCTGTCGTAATCCATGTCTTCGGGCCTTTGCTATGTCATTAGGAACCTTGGCATCAATGTTTCCACTTCCAATCTAAATTGGAAAAAAAAAGAAAATGGAACATTGTCACTAAAACCGAGAAACAAGATTGTGGTGCAAACAATAAAAACTAAAAATAGGATTTAAAACGTTCAGGAAGGTTTGCCTGACAATACAATATGAACTCTGAAGTTGTGTTTGGATGAACAAAGAGTTTGAGCAAATAATCACTGCCCCATTTGATTATGTCCTTGACATGATCAAGCTGATCACCAATATCAGCATACTTTTCGTGGTATTCGATCACTGTCCAGCTCAACAGGGTTACGATATAAGCTGTACGTAGCTAGGGAAGCTGAACTTTATGTTGTTACCAGAATCATAGAAACAGCCCTCAAGATTCGCCAGTTTTCTGCTCAAATTCCCATCATGCAATGCGGAACTAGCGCGAAAATTTACAGGACTGTTATTAGGGTAAACCCCAGCTGATCATATAAGAAACTTTTCAGCAAGTTAGATAAAAAAAAAGTAACATGTAAACCATTTCTAATCAAATGCATGATGGTAGAAACATGTTACACTTTTGCGCATCGAAGAACGTCAGAGCTTGGTTCAATGCAAGCGTAAGATTCTTTGAAGGGTGGCGATGATTGTTTTGAAGAGCGTTAGGCAAAATTGTTACCTGCAAGATTAGAGCTAGGACAAGAAAACGCAGAACTGTAAAGACAACGTTTGTAGTAGTTTTTTTTATCGGTGATAACGAGATTGAATTCGTAGGGACTTGGAGTACTGAGAAAGGATTGAGTCGTTGGCTGTGGAAGACTGAGGAATTAGGCTAAAGTCAATTTCTATGGAGTTCCAAAGACTCGCCGAGGGACAAACCTCAGAGACCATATGGACAAACCTCACAGTTTCTATGTCTGTTGAAGAAGTTTGTGTTTTGGAACCTAGAGAAAATGGCATTGTTTGTGAAGAGATGAGAAAATGGCAACGTGATAAAAAAAAAAAAAAAAAAAAAAAAAGAAAAAAAGAAAAGAAAAAAGAGTTTTGATCATCAAATGTGTATAGAAACTAAAATATCATAGGTCTAAGATCATACTATAAAATTAATTTTTGGTAGTTATTCACAATGAAATAGTTTCGTGATAAAACAGAAGCATGAGTTGGCTAATAAAGCAAAAAATATCGATGCTATCAAAGGAAATATATTAAGGAAAATACCTTTTTATGCTTGCCAAAATTTGCCTATGAGAATATGCGTATTTTGTCTTTTCAATATTAGGCCAACAATTCAGTTTTCAATGAAAGTAAATTTCATAGAAAGAGAAAGCTATTACAAGGTAAGGAAAACTTTAAAAGAGAGTCCAAAATGACCAAACAAAAGCTCAACTCCATAACAGAAAATTACAATAAAATAGGCCCAGAATGAGCAGCGAACAAATGAAAAAACTTAGACACGAAATGTAAAGGAGCCACCTCCACCAAAACAGCCGCACCACCACCACAGATCTGTCGCCACCACCCAGAAGAAGGGCCAAAGAACTAAAAGGATGAACGAAAAATGGGGGTAGGCAAGCAATCTGCGCTGAGAGCACTTCCATAATCCTACCGAATAGTCCAAAATGCACTTTAAACACTACGAACCACCAAAGTGCGCCTTTGGGGGAGACACCAGATGAAACGAGCAACAAGGGTAGATGGTTGAAGATCCACGGTGAGAAGCGATGTTTGGAGAGGAACAAGGTAGAGATAAAAAATATGAGATAAACTCAGGAAAACTGAGACCAAGCTAGGGCAACCTGAGACACAAAATACTCAAAATGAAAACAGCAGAAATCTAAGTGCATAAAAAGAAAATGCAAATCACCAACCATGGTGGTTTGTAGAAGGGAAAAACTGGGGGGAGTTGGAGGAGAAGGTGAAAACAATAAAAATGGGGAGATATGGGGGGATAAGGAGGAAGAAAGGGGAAGAGGGAAGAGGGAAGAGGGTGATGGGGGGGGGGGGGGAGGGGGGGTGGCATTGGGCTACCACATACCCCAAGCCGGAGCAAGGGGCAGACGAGAAGAAGGCTTTCAGAAATTTAGGTTTTTTTTAGAGAAAGAGGGAAGGCAATGTCTCAGCTAAATACAAATAAGATGACCAGCAATTCAATTGACATATGAAAACAGTTGAAAGAAAAAACAATGTGTCATTTGCAAGGTTTGTCACTGCACTTGTCCTCATAACCGTATGGTCCCTATAAATGAGGAACAAGGTCCTCCAATATATTAGAAATTGAGTTCTTAAAGTATAAGTACTCACATTATACATGGGGAAGCCTCCACACATGGAGATATTTTTCAGTGTGACCATCATACGAGGTGGTACACCACGTGTCCTTACATAAATGGTGGGTTATGTGTGTTAAAAGGTTAATAACTTAAAAGTTAAAATTTTCCACCATTTGCATAAAAATACGTGATATATCATCTATGTTCTCGTCATAACTAAAAATTTCTCCCACACGTGGGACAATATAGAAACGAAAGTGGTAAAGCCCATTGGGCATTTTGAATGAAAAAATGGGCCCACCCGTGTGATTGCTATTGTATAGCTATTGTTTTTCGATCAATAGCTACAGACGCAACGCACATGCTACTTATTATATTTTTTTTTATCTGTTGCAAAATCTAAGGTCCAAACTCATTATGAGTTTATTTATTTATTTTTATTGTTAAAAATCAACGGTTTCAATTGAAGAGTCCTCAAATAGATGCTCTTAATGGTAAAAATTATTGTTTAGTAGAAAAATTGAGTGTTGCTTGACCAAATAATCATGCGCTATTATGTAATGGCTATTTAACCAAATGGTCCTTAGGATTGGCATCTCACTTTGATCCTAGAGATTTTAAATCGATAGAAGTAATCCTTGAGTTTGTCCATAGTCAATCATTTCGGTCGTTCCGTAGAAAATCTTCGTTAAATAAGGACCAAAATGACACAAATACTCTCAATTTTGTCAAATCATTTTGGCACATTATTTATTAAATTGAGGATATTTTTGTCATTTTTGTTCTTATTTACTAGAGATTTTTCACGGAATGATCAAAATAATTGACGGGGATAAATTTAGGAATTATTCTATCTATTTCAAAATCTAAAGTACCAAAATGAGGAGTTATGTCAATTTAAAAAATTATTTTAGCTAAAATGCCTTATGTAATTGTTTAACAACGTTGTTATCACAAACAAACCATTCACAATCAAAATCTAGGGGCGCTATTCTCTATCAAAATCTGTGGGCAATTGGGCATTTTTCTAACTCAAGTGGCCACTTAACATGTCTATCCTCCTAAGACGTGTGGCCTCTAGTCAGCATAAGTTGGATTGAATATACAGAAGACGTGTGGCCCCCACGTTCCTAAGATTATTTTTATGAGATCATCACTTTAATAAATATTTTCTGTACTATTTTTTTTAAGTAATATTAAGAAGATTAAATTTATAAAGTAAATTATGTCACTAATAAGAACAAACACATTTATCAACATGTAAATAATAAATCAATCATTAACTTTTATATTCTTCAACTTTTAAAATTTTATTTACAAATTCAATCTGTCTATCATTATTCTTTTTTTAAAATAAAAAATTTCTACACCCTTAAAAGAAAAATTAGTACAGAAAATATATATTAAAGTGATGGTCTCATAAAAGTAATCTCAGGAACGTGGAGGCCACACGTCTTTTATATTTTAATCCAACTTTGCTGACTTGTATGGTTATCTTATCTCCAAAACCTTATCCGAGGAGTCTTCGCACATAGTCTTTTAGCTGAATCATCTGTATTTCTTGGCTATTTCTCCTAGGAACGACGGTTCAATGAACTTTAATCTTACATGTTTGTGTCCAAGTTCTTTTAGTCCTCAACATGCATAACAGACAAGTTTTGCAGAAAATACTTTTGAGTTTTTTATTTTGGAAGGAATCATTGTTGCGATCACAGTTTCACACTTGATATATATTTTTATAGATTTTAAATTAAAAAAAATTAAGATCATCAACCGTTTAATCTTAATTCGAAGATAAATGGTTATTTAAATTTTTGTACTTTTTGGTACAATTTTTTTGAACCCTTGAGTCTAACAAAACTCCACACATAATATTCTTTTTTATTATTGTACTTTTTGTTACTACAATTTTTTTAAACCCTTGAGTCTAACAAAACTCCACACATAATATTCTTTTTTATTATTGTACTTTTTGTTACTACAATTTTTTTAAACCCTTGAGTCTAACAAAACTCCACACATAATATTCTTTTTTATTATTGTACTTTTTGTTACTACAATTTTTTTAAACCCTTGAGTTGAGTCTAACGAAACGTTACACATAATGTTCTTTTAATAATTTTTTATTTGCATATACGTTAAATAGTAATTTGCATACAACACAGAGGAGAAAACACGCAATACGTATATATAAAAAGATTCTTTTCACATACCGTGTTCCCTAACACCTAGTTAAGTTTAAGCTATATATAAAGTACATACCATAGACAATATACTCCATATTCACCATGCCACCACTTGATGTTTACCACCTTGTTTCTTTCTCACTCTTCTTCTTGATCGTGAAGTCATATGGAATCAGCAACACTAGTAGTTCTTCATCCTCAACCAATATTTGCGGCACATATGATTGCGGCAACGGCTTAGCCTTCCGCTATCCGTTTTGGCATGTCGAAGTCGAAGCCACCACTGCCGATCAGTACTGTGGCTACCCTGGTTTCGGCCTCACATGCTCCGCCGACGGCGAGCCTATCCTCACCCTACCAACCGACTCATATTATGTCAAACAAATAAACTACACTGATTCCACCGTCCATCTTGTTGACATCGATGTCGTTGGCCATACATGCCCTAGGGCACGACATAATGTAACTCTAGGCACCCTCCCTTTAAATTACTCCCATCCAGATTTGAACCTCAGTTTTTTCTTCAACTGCACTTCCTACCCTCCTCTCGTGCCTCCCATTGGGTGTTTGGGATACGGTAAGATGAAGTCTTACGTGTTTACGGTGGGGAACGAGACGGAGGGCTTTGATTGGTTCGAGAACTGCGAGGAGAATGTGGTGGTTCCGGTGATAAAGACGACGGAGATTACCAGTGACTTTGGTGGTTTGATCGGTGGATTTGGTGGCGCTATGAACGAAGGGTTTGTGCTGGATTGGGGCATGGCTAAGGAGTGCGGATCTTGTGAGGCAAATGGTGGTCTGTGTGGCTACAACAACACTGCGCACAATTTTCTGTGCTTTTGCAAAGATGAAACCAGAACCAACGGTGTCTGCAAACAAGGTATGCTACGATCAATTGGTTATCTTAAAATTTTATTGTTATTTACTAGTTAACTTTAAACTTACTTTGTATGTATGAATAGTTACATTTTTTTTTACAAGCGATATCTCTACTTTAAAGAAGTTAGGAGAATTATAATTGGTGCATAGTACATGTCACATAGGACCTGTGTTCCTTTGTAGCTACATCAGTTAGCTACGATGAAAAACATTTCTCTATGTTTCTTCTTACGTGACGATGTTTCGAACATTTTTACACATATTTCATTTTGGCAGCTGGGCCTAAGTTAATAATTAGTTTCTTCTTTGGGTTGGCATAGATTTTTGCCCACAGATTTTGAGTGATCAAATACCATCCCCCCACTCCCCACCCACCCAACCCCCACCCCCAAAACCCGGATGGGATCCTCTTCGGATTCTCTTAGTGAAGATCTTAGGAATCCTTATATTCTAATAATTTATTGTACATCGTGCGGCTAATTTTTGTTAGATATTATTTGTGTTTAATTTTAAATAAAAAAAATCAAATGATTTTGGATCACATGATGAATGATGATTTTGGATTCGGATCCAAATCTCCCCAACCCAGCCCCAACAACCAAACCCCAACAAAACTCACTCACACACACACACACACAAAACAATGTGCCGCCAATAAATATACTGTACCGAAAATGGGCTGAGGCCCAAAATTGTTCTTGCGGGTTTTGCACCCGGATCTGGATCAGTTATTTTCTACTTTAGAAACGGGAATTGACTTGGTAAAAGAATTAGCAAGTTGTTTACAAAAGTAATGAATGAGCAGTTCTTCAAAAAAAAAAAAAGTAATGAATTAGCAAGTTGCTAATGGATATGATATTGAGCTTTAAAAATTTATTTGGATTTACTCAAAAAAAACAAAAAAAGAGGAAAAAAAATATATATATATATATGGAATTTAAATTAACTATTAAAGAACGTTCTTTGTCAATAAAAAACATAAGTAAAAAGACCATATTGACTCAGTCAACAAACTTAAAAAAAAAAAAAAATCAAAATAAAATTTATTGACAATTTGAAAATTAAACACAAAATAATTTTATTGCCTTTTCTTCAAAGCCTCACAGCTAGATAAATATATCAGTGGCCTCCATTTACTCTTCTACGTTTTTTCTCCCAAATAAGATATATTTTTAGTAAAGAAATAATTATCCAAAAACAGTCGCTCAAGATATGAACAACTTTTTCAATGATAAAAAAATTATTTGAATGTCATTACTATAAAGCTTTAACGACCATTTTATATTTTCTCTCATTTTAAATTTGGTTTCAAAATTATAATAAGCACATGCATAACATATGTACAATTTCTAGTTATATTTCAATTGAAAACTATAGTCAGAAACTTTAATTTTATGAAAGAAAAAAAAAAAAGATGAAAGAAATAGACAAAATTCATCCCCAAGTCCAGAACGTGGGATGCAATTCTAAGTTCCTTTTTTTTGACAAAATAAAATCTTAATTCTTTAATGTCTTAGTCAATTGAATTTAAATCAATATCTTCCTCATTAAAAACATAAAAAAAAAAAAAATCTGATATTTATGAACTAGCAAGATCAAGATTTTTATGAATTGTTTTAGACGACTATTATACTAACTGGTTTTGTCACCTCAAGAATTTTTTTTTTTTTTGAGAAAATTGTCATCTCAAGATTTGACAATGATTTTTTTTTTTGTTTTGTTTTGTTTTTTTTTTTTTTTTAAATTTCTTCCTGTTGATGCTGCATGCCTCACGCACGTTGAAATTTATTGGGTTTAATTAGACTTTTGAACAAATGTATCAAAAACACGCTATCAATCGGACTCTTGAATCAGTCATATTTCAGTCCTTCAGATGCATGAGAAAATGATCTATTCAAATATCCCAAACTAGAAAGCTACGTTTCTCCCTCCAATAATAATAATAATTGAGTTCAGTTGAAAACCCTGAAATGAATTATGCCCAAATTGCACTGCCAAGTGCCATCCCGATCAATAGAGGATGCCTTTATGTGTGTTTAGAACACAGACACATACGTTATATGTATTATGCAAGTGGACGGACATTTGAAAAAAAAAAAAAAAAAACTTTCCTCCACTTGTATAGTAACATATGACATATCATCACGTGTTCTGGATACACTGAAAAATCTCTTATTCATTTGTCATTCACCCAAATTTAATAGGCATAAAGTTGTGCCACTAGCATGCAGTGGAGTAAATCAAGAGTTACTTGCTTTATTTTATATAGAGTAATGTTATTCACACACGATTCGACGGTCGGAAATTTTAAAAAGTATGAGAAATATAAATAAGTGTATATGGATGACACACCCTTTATATATCTTCTCCCGTATTACTGCTTTCACGTTTTAAAAGCAAAGGCTATGTTTACTTATTGTGAATTAATATGCGAGGTATGAGTATTATTTTCGTTCTTATTTTTTGAAATTTAAAAAAAAAAAAAAAAAAAAAAAAAAAAAAGAGAGTGGGGACAAACCTATATAAGCCGTCGTCGCATCCATCTCTCACGAAAACGCCACCCACTTCTCCCTTCCGATGGTCAAACAGATTATATCATAATAATATTCCACCGCTTTGAATTTCAAATGTTGCATCAGACATTTCCAGTTTCAAAACATAAAAATTTCGTCTTCTGAAATATCAAACTATATTAGTCTCCATGTCCCATTGAGCTTCAACAAGTTACTATGCCTACCCACTTTCTCCAAAAACTACCCGTCTCCTTCCTCATCTTCTTCCACAATTTGGTCACGGTAATATTACTTTCCACCGCCGCTCTCGGCGAGGATGACAACCGATACACCGAGTGCCGCGGCTACTACGACTGCGGCCTCCTCAAAAACATCTCATACCCCTTCTGGGCTGCCAACGGGCGCCCCCAACAGTGCGGCCTCGAATATTACGAGCTCACCTGCCGAGAAGATCAATTCCCTGTCATGAAAATTGAAGACCAAGATTTTCTAGTGTTGAACTTTAGTCGACAGTTTTACACCATGACAATCGCTCGCTCAGATCTCTGGGACACCCCCTGCACTGACCACATCGTCAACACCACTTTGGACTACGACCGGTTTTCCTACGTCCCAACCGTTCGGAACCTGACGCTGCTCTACGGCTGCCAGCCGGGGAACATGTCCGTACGCAATAACTTCACTTGCAAGGTAAAGGGTACGGACGACGACGATATTTCGTACTATGTCGACGACTCTTTGAGGATTCGTATGAGAAATTGGACCTCATGTTATTTGAATTTTCGAGTTCCGATTATGTGGGAGGGTGTGGATGTTATGCCTGACACGCCGTATAAGCTCAAACAGGTTTTGAAACAGGGGTTTCAGGTGAGGTACGAGGCGGAGTGGAAGCTCTGTCGGCGATGTGAATTATCCAATGGAACCTGTGGGTCGAAATCGAAATCGAATTCTAATTCGTTTGTCTGTTATTGCCGCGATGGACCTCGTGATCGAATATGTCCGAGTTCTGGTGGTATGTATATCAATTTCTTCTTAATTTCTCCATTAATTTCTTCAGATCAGTTTTCTTCGTTTAATATAAGATTAGGGACAGTAATTAAGGTTAAGTCTGATTCAAAGTAGGGTTTTTGGTATGGAGTTTCCATTCATAGTTGCACATTTGAGTTAAATCAACTTTGTTAGGGTAGTGTGCTTTATCATCGCATTAAAGTTTGAATCTTTATTCCCATAATTTAAATAAATTTTAATATAATCACTACAAACAACGTGCACATCTCTTTACAGTTAAGTTTGAATTGCCTCTGTAATTTAAATAAATTCAAAGTAAATTAAAATACCGTCTTATGTGTTGTTTGCTATTCGTTGGTGTTGTAAAGTAGTTGTAACTAAGTTCTAGTGCTCTCACATTGTGATGGAGTGTGCAATTAGGTTTAACCCTTGAACTTAGTTACCGAAAACTTGGTTCATTAAGGCGTCTTATTTCATCTTAATCCCAATGAGATAAACCCTGCTGACTGGACACAGACACCAGAAGTGATGCTCCTTTGACTGGTCATCGTCATGTCAAACTTGTGGACAAATCAGTAGGTTTGCTACCAGTCGTAGGCGAAAACACATGCCACGTAGGCATTGACCAAGTCAAAGATCTACGAGGTTAGCAAGGAATTATATAAGATTTTATACAGTTCACACTTCGTACCAACCTATAATCTTTGTCACAATTGATCTTGTGAGTCATAAGTCCATACAATTTCTCCACCTTCCGATTGAGATTAGGTGTCGTGGCGCAAGTTTGCCATTAAGTCAAACCGAGCACATTGTAATTAGGGCCAACTTTGGAGAAATTCTTATGTCATACGTTATTTTTTATGTTTATACTTGTGCTTATAGTCAACCGAATATAAGAATATCATTTTTCTAGTGTGTTGATAGCTAGTGTGCTTCACATAAATGACCAACCACAACTCTTTAAGTTTCAAGCAAATCCACCAAAACATATGTAGTGCTTGCTGCATTATTCATTTTATTGCCTACCTCAAAATTGAAGATTTCTGCCCTATTTTTAGGTCGCTTCGAATAGGTAATGACCCTTACCTAAACCTAAACAAAATATTTTGTACTTTTTTGGTTTGTTAATTTACAATAACTTCGGTTTCTGGTATATTTCAATTATTTTTGGTTTTTATTCGGTTACTATCGATTTTTATTGAATTTCGCTCAAGTGTAGGTTTTTCTTCTGTTTCGGTATTTAGCACTGATTTTTCTAAATCTCATTCCTTGTTTAAAAAGCAAAAGTCAACATTAGTGCCAAAATGATGTATATGCTTCACTACATATCATCAAAAACTAGTTTCGGGTCTATTTTTCTCTTTGACCAAAAACATTTTAGTGGAAAAATAAAATATTGCCATAAAGTGTTTTGTTTGGTTTTGAGCTTTCCAGCATTGCCTACCAAAATACCACAAAACTTCAGAGAGCGAAGTCTTATTTTGCATGATATATTCTCTTGTCTGGTCCTCCTTGGCTAACTTCCCACCAAATAGTTGTAAATCCTTTCTGGCCGGTGTTATGCCTTTGGAATGAAATAATTGTCTCGTATACGGAATCTCGTTTAATTGTCAGAAAACACTTTTAACTGTTCGTGTGTTACTATAAAAAATATCCAGAGTTTATTTTAAAAGCTTTCCTTTGGGGTCCATTGTGAAGAAACAAATGTCATTGCTGTTGCTTAGACCATTGGTTTGTTTACTTGTCTTTGTCCTCCTTTTCCACCTCCAAGGCTCCAATCATATTAAAAACAAACGAATCTTATACCCACTACCAAGAATTTTCTTTTCCGCTATTCCAAACTCCCATTAATTCCATCACTTGCTTTACTTCTCTGTTTTTCTCTCCGTTTCTTGATCATGAATCTCCTCCGTATTATTGTTGTCACCATCATATTCACAACCTTCCCCAACCGAGCTTTCTCCGTAGACCAAAGATTCGAGGCCTGCGAGCCTCGAACGTGCGGAAATGGTCCGAACATAAGCTACCCTTTTTGGCTTTCCGGCAAGCAAGAGTCCTGCGGTTACCCGAGCTTCAAGATCACCTGCAATGAAAAATACCCGGTATTTAGTATTTCCGACGATGATTACATCATTAGAGAAATCTTTTACTCAAACCATTCGTTTGTTCTGGCCAACGCGGCAGTCTATGAAGACAAATGTCCACTTCCTCAACACAACTTCAGCCTCGATCGAACGCCTTTCAACTATAGTTCCGATCACGTCAATTTTTCCTTCTTTTATGATTGCCCTGAAGACCCTTCGGAATACATGCCTTCATATCCCATTGACTGTGCTAGCAAGGGCAGCAATCACTCTTTTGCTACTTTTGACAAGGAGCTAGTTGAGCGCATGAACTATTCGTTAGACTCGTGCCAGTCTTCAGTTCATTTGCCTTTCGATGGTGCTGCTAGAGTCGATGCATTGAAGCAAATGAACTACACCGAAATCTTGAAAATGGGGTTCATTTTGATCTGGACTGCACAGAACTGCAGCAATTGCAAGAGGAGTGGTGGGCGCTGTGGATTTGATGACAATGAATTCGTTTGTTTTTGCAGTGATCGACCTCATGTCAAAACCTGTGACGATGGTACTTATGTAGTAAAGCTTTCCCTTTTAGTAGTGATTGAATTTTTCAGAAAAACTGCCCACAGTAAAGATTTCTTCTGCAGTATTTGTGCTTGTAGATAGCCATGCTAGTTCGCGTTGATTAGCATAGAGCAGAGAGAATACGCGTGTTTGAGGCTTAAATTTGTATCACAACTTTTATTCTAAGAATTCTTCTTTTTTTTTATTTCTTTTGCAGACAATAATTCTTGGGACTGGAAGAGGAAGTTTATAGTAGGTAATATATTAGCAAACCCTTTTGTTTCTTCAATTATTTAAAGTTCTATCACATTTCTCAATTTGATTATATTCACTAGTCCTCATCTAATTATCAATACTGCAACCTCTTCTCAGGTGTTTGCACAGCTGTTGCTACGGTCGCTATAATGTGTGTTATTTTCTTTGTACACCAACGTCGAAAAAGAAAACTACACCATCCATCGTCCTTCGTAACTCGAAGCATCCTTTCGAGTACGTATTCTATGGATGACGATATGGAGAAGGGAAGTACCTACCATGGAGTACATATTTTCAGCTATAAGGAACTTGAAGAAGCAACTAATTATTTCGATTCTGCAAAAGTACTTGGCGATGGAGGCTTTGGCACAGTTTATCATGGTAATAAGATCACAGATTTTCTTAACCATTTTATGAACCCTTTTAGTGCTTAATTTGTAAGTTTCATAAATAGGAAATCTGCGCGATGGGAGAGTGGTTGCAGTCAAGCGTCTATATGAAAACAATTTCAAGAGAGTTGAGCAGTTCATGAATGAAATCGAGATTTTGGCCCTCCTGCGCCACCAAAATCTTGTGTTGCTCTATGGTTGCACCTCTCATCACAGCCGAGAACTCCTCCTTGTGTACGAGTACATTCCTAATGGAACTGTTGCTGAACATCTTCACGGAGAAAAAGCAAAACCTGGCGCACTTCCATGGCTTACTCGAATAAAGATTGCCATCGAAACTGCAAACGCACTGTCATATCTTCATGCATCTGACATTATCCACCGTGACGTGAAAACTACAAATATTCTCCTTGACGACTTCTTCTGTGTCAAGGTAGCAGATTTTGGACTATCTCGCCTGTTCCCCATGAATGTCACGCACATCTCAACTGCTCCTCAAGGGACTCCAGGTTATGTTGATCCGGAGTATAACCAATGCTACCAGCTTACGAGTAAGAGTGATGTCTATAGCTTTGGTGTGGTGCTGATGGAGCTCATATCATCCATGCCAGCCGTTGACATCACAAGGCATCGACACGAGATCAATTTGTCTACCATGGCGATCAACAAGATTCAAAACCATACATTACATGAGCTAGTAGACCCATACTTAGGGTTTGAATCAGACTCCAGAACACGAAAAATGATCATTGCTGTGGCGGAACTAGCATTTCGCTGTCTGAATAGTGACAAGGATTTGAGACCTTCCATGATTGAGGTGCTTAACGAACTAAAGCGGATACAGAGCGATGATTTTGACATACAAAAAACAGAGGAGATTGATATTTCGGCAAATGATGTTGTGCCGTTAAAGAGTGATCCGCTGCCAGCTTCACCTGATTCCGTGGCAATGAGATGGACTAGCGTGTCCACGACACCAAATACCAGCGGCTAACTAAACTTTATAGTTCCCCTCCATAAGTGTGTATATTATGAGAGAGCTCACAGAGATGTATGTATGGTAAGGCAGATCCGTGTATAGTGCAGTTTTGAGGCTACAAGGTTACATTGGTTGTCTATTTGCAACTCATCCAGTTAAGGCAAACGATCATCCTTGTTTTTGAAGAATGTTAAAGTCTCACATCGAAAACCTATCGAATCAGTACAACTCATATTGAATGGTTTCACCATTAATTTCATTGAGCTTTTTTTTTTTTTGTATAATCCTCTTGTGGCTATTGAGTGCGATTTCTTTAGATCGAGGGTAATTTTTGCTTTTAGTATACCTTAATGCTCACTAAATCACTCAGTTTAGTAATGCAATTCATGCATTACTAATGGAAATTTATTCGGACAACACATGAGTAAAAATGCATGCGGAAATCATTTCAGTTAAAATTTATTCAATAGCTCTAATGACCTGAATTATCGATAAGATGTACACCAATTAATCCAGAAAAGAACGTGGAAGATTCTGGTGGTGTTCTTACAGGAAAAATTAGGACAGGCTTTGGTGGTATTTGCGAGGCTTCAATGCTTCCTTGCAGCATTTCAATCACTCTAGTCATGGATGGTCTATCTTATGGCTTCGTCTGTATGGACCACAACCCTACCAAAATCATCTTCCTCGCCAGTTCGTTTTCCTCTTCCGTCACAGCATTCGGCAACCCTAAACTGGTGCCTGCCTCAAGCTTCTTCTAAATAAAATCCCGAAAAAAAACATCACTCGTGTGGCTCGCTCAGGCGTTGACGTTCTTTTTTCCTCCAGCCATCTCCGGAACCATCATTCCATAGCTGTAGACATCGGACTTAACTGAAACTCCTCCAAAGATTCTACAAACCACTTCCGGAGCAATATAGCCAATCGTCCCTCTTGCATCCAACATTAATACAGTACTCCCCTTCTTGAGGCAAAGTTTCGAAAGCCCGAAGTCAGAAATCTTGGGGCAAAAGTTATCGTCCAAAAGAATAGTATGCGGTTTTATGTCAAAATGCAAGAACTCGAGTCCTCGAGCTATCCCAGTAACAAAATTGAGTAGTTGTTCCACTATAATCGCTAACTCGCTCCGTCATTAACTCAGTGAGTCGGCTCCTGTGCTCGTCCGCCTCGCAGTGTCATGCCCATCACAAAAAACCCAGCAAGGAGCAAAAATTTCCCGTCAAAGAGAAACTCGAACATCAAGCCGATGAAGATGACGACGACGAAGATGGTCCACATGGGTTCCAGCGAGGGCATATAACGTCGGCGGGTTATCGATTGGAGGAACTCCATCTGCCACTCTGCCAAAACATAGTCTATTTGACAAAAAAACTCATCTCCAAACCCCCTTAATAATTTATTATTTTAATTGAAATAATATAATTAATTGAATTAAACTAGCATATTAAAATAAGATTTTTAGACATATTTTGAGTACCACTTGTCACTAAATGAATAAGTCTCCAGATTTCTTATCTTTATATAATGAAAAAGATGTGAAAAATTGGTGAAGAATTAAAATAAAATAAGGTAAGATAGTATGAAATAGTGAAAATGAGGTGATAAATGGTGTAGAAATTGCTTAGGTATTTATAGGAAAACAATTAGAATTTTATTTTATTTTTTTTAAAATTTCGTTTGAAAAAAAAAAATTTCAAATCTAACAGTAACCTGACGCTAGCTAGCATGGGTTTGGCCTGGTGCAACAGGCTAGCTGGCTAGCTCTGCCAGCCTGCTGGCCTAGTGGATGAATTATGGCCTGGTGGGATCCGAGTCGAAAATATCGTTTGTCAAAAAAAAAAAATAAGTACACAAAAAAAATAAGAACGTTAATGCTTTTGTCTAGAAAATAAAAGATAAAAAATAGAAAATATATATTAAAATTTTTCTTTTTGTAAATAACGACACATTTGCTAAAGTGAAAAAGTTCAAATACAAAGGTTAGTGAAAGGTTGCTAGATTTCTCGCTACAAGTTAGTTTTGTTAGTTTAATTTAGTTAACCGCAAACCTTCATTAGCTAAGCTGTATATAAACTGGATTGTTTAATTAACAACTAATATTTGGTCACAAGACGAATTGCATGTGCAGATTGTACTTCTTTTACTCACAAACTTGGTACTCAATTTTCAGTTAAGGACTTATTTATTTTTATGTTTATAAGATTCATATTCTCAACACGCCCTTTCACATATGACGAGGTAGGAAGTGATTTGCATCTCACTGCCTTCTCATATGCAGTTTGGGTAGGAAGTGATTCACCTTTCCAGGGTTGTTTCCTAATTAGATGTGGATTTTGTACAAGTTTCGGCCTTTTGAGCAAATAAAAACGTTTCATATTTTCCTAGTTTTATAAGGATTATATCCACTTACTTGAAGTCCAATATTTCCTAACCACACAAAGAAAACTACCTATAAAATATCACCCACTCCCTCAGTTGGGTGTCATTTGCAACGGCATACTGTTGAATTCTTCTACAATCTCTCCCTCGAGTGGAAGAACACAAAGAAGAGGAAGGAGCAAGATGGAGGAGTCAAGTGATCTCAAATACTTTGACGGCACGAAAAGTGATTACGATATACGCATGGAGAAGTACGATTATTTGGTTGTGGCGAGTTGGTTTCTGGTCGAGGAAGAACAAATGATGGAGAGGATCCGTAATTCTTTGAAAAAAAAGAATTCCAAACCATGTGTGACGAGGATGATGATGCTACTGATTCAGAGCATTCGGAATGGAAGCAGCGGAAGGCAATGGTGAAGAAGAACTAGATCAAGAAAGGCAAGGGAGGCTCGACGAAGACCGCGAAGAAGAAGAAGAGAAATGCTCTGAACAATGGCTCGGACCATTGGTTATGCAACTCATGTAATTATGATTACCGGGGATAAGGGAATTCGAACTTGAAACTCAATAATCGAAAATCATAGTGACTTGTTTTCTTATGTGTTTTGGTGTTTTAGTACGCACAGGTTCTCTGTATTAGGTGAATTTGAATTTGCGAACTCATGCATTACTAAGGAACACTTATTCGGACAACACAGGAGTAAAAATGCGTGCGGAAATCAATTCTCTTATGAGTTAAAACTTATTCAATAGGTCTAATGAACTGAATTAAGGTGTACACCAATTGATCCAGAAAAGAACGTGCAAGTGATAACGTGGAAGATTCTGGTGGTGTTCCTACAGGAAAAGTTAGAACAGGCTTTGGTGGTATTTGCAAGGCTTCAATGCTTCCTTGCAGCATTTCAATCACTCTACTCATGGAAGGCCTATCTGATGGCTTCGTCTGTATACACCACAACCCTACCAAAATCATCTTCCTGGCGAGTTCGTTTTCCTCTTCTGTCACACCATTGGGCAACCCTAAACTGCTGCCCATCTCAAGCTGCTTATAAACCCAATCAGGAAACAAACATCACTCGTGTGGCTAGCTCGAGCATTGATGTTCTTTCTTCCTCCAACCATATCCAGAACCATCATTCCATAACTGTAGACATCGGACTTAACTGAAACTCCTCCAAAGTTTCTACAAAACACTTCCGGAGCAATATACCCAATCGTCCCTCTTGCATCCAACATCGACATAATACTCTCCTTCTTGAGGAAAAGTTTCGAAAGCCCAAAGTCTGAAATCTTGGGGCAAAAGTTTTCATCCAAAAGAATATTATGCGGTTTTATGTCAAAATGCAAAATTCGCGTGTTGCATCCGCGGTGCAAGTACTCGAGTCCTCGAGCTATCCCAATAACAATATCGAGTAGCTGTTCCACTTCCAATTGTGGACTACTCGTTTGCAAAGCATTTTCGTTGTAAACGTACTTTTTGAGTGATCCATTAGGCATGAACTCATATATGAGAGCTTTTTTTTGACCTTCAAAGCAATACCCTAGCAAAGTGACAACATTGACGTGGGAAGTTCTACTAATGCTTAAAACCTCGTTTATGAAGTCCTCGCCATTCCCTTTGGATGCTTTGAGAACCTTCACAGCCACAGGACTACCATCCAGCAGATTGCCTTTGTACACATCTCCATAACCTCCTTGACCTAGTTTATCTTTAAATGACTTGGTCATTTTTCGGATTTCCAAAAACTTGTGCCTTTTTACTGCTAGAGGTCCATTAGCCCTTATGAAAGCCTCGAGGTCTTGATCGTTGCTACTCCTGAAAATTTGCTTCCTAGCTTTAATAGAGCAAACAATAACACAGATCATGATCCCACTTCCTGCAGAAAGAGCAACTCCTGCAGGGCACAAGATGATTAATGGTTAATAAAATGCAACAACAACAACCAAACCCTATCCCACTAAGTATGGTCAGTTGTATGAATCCTAAATCGTCACTGTGCTCAGCTTTTTATTATGAATAGAAATAGGAAAATAGGGTGATGGAGTATATTGCTTTCTCTTGCAGCATTTGTAAGAAAGAAAATAGTACACAGTAATATAGCCGCAGTGATAACAGTTGGGAGTGATTTTCGCACTCTATTGATTTATTCATTTAAAGGGGTTGCTGATATATTACCTACAATAACCTTCCTTTTCCAATTCCATGCATTGTCTGCAAAAGCAATCAAAGAAGCAGAATTCTTAGCAATCAAATGTAAGCCTCAAACACGCATATTATCTTTGCTCTAAGCTAATCAACGCGAACTACCATGGCTGTCTACAAGCACAAATACTGAAGAAGAAATCCACACTGGGCAGTTTTTCTTAAAATTCAATCATAACTAAAAGGGAAAAGTTTACTACAGAAGTACCATCATCACAGGTTTTGACAAGAGGTCGATCACTGCAAAAACACACGAACACACGGATTCATTGTCATCGAATCCACGGCGCCCGCCCTCCACTAAAATGTTTTTGGTCAAAGAGAAGACACGGAACTAGTATTTTGATGATATTTAGTGAAGCATATACACCATTTTGGCACTAATGTTGACTTATGATTTTTAAACAAGGAATGAGATTCAGAAAAATCAGTGCTAAATACCGAAAAAATGGAAATCCTACACTTTGAGCCAAATTCAATGAAAATCCAAAGTAACCGAATAAAGACCGAAAATAAATTGAAATATACCGAAAAAAAAGAAGCCGAAGTTACTGTAATCTAACAAACCGAAAAATACCAAATATTTTTGTTTAGCTTTAGGTAAGGGTCATTACCTATTCGAAGCGACCAAAAAATAGGGCAGAAATTTTCAATTTTGAGGTAGGCAATACAATGAG